ACACATATACACACACACATATATACACACATATACATGCATATACACACACACACATATATATACATATATATGTAATTATATATATAATTGTATATATATACACAAATATATACACATATATATACACAAATAAATAAACAAATAGAAGAGATATAAATAAGAAGTAGGAAGAAGTTCAAATGCTACACCAAATTACATATTCCGTTGTTTAAAAGTATTTCAACAAGTGTCCTTAATGACTGTCGTTTACAGAGCATTTTAGAGCTTGAAAATCACTTTCCTATGTGAGATCTCATTTGACTTTCACAATAGTCCTGTAAGCTAGAGAATGAGCAATATTCATTCCTTCTCATGTAATAAACTGAAGCCCAGAGAGGTCAGTTGCTCTGCCCACATGTTCACAGCCAGCTGGTATCTGTGCAAAGCTACCAGAGCTGGAGTTTCTGAGTCCAAATGCCATGTTCTTAGCACTGCCATGAATCCTCTGCTGTGTCAGTTGCAAATCTAAAGTCACTGTGTGTCATCAGGCCCCCACTGACGTAAGACACATGAAATTAAGTGGTAAAAGTATGCATTAGAGTTCGTTCTTCCACTGAGCTGTAAGTTACATCACTCTCCGGACTTGGTGGTGATGGGTATTATTATTAGGAGCTATGGGTTAAGAGCAATGACCTAAAAAATAGATAATACAATTAGATAGCACACATAAGTACACAGAAGTTTGACATATAGTTGCTCTTAAAAATGTTATTTAGGGCTGGGGATTTAGCTCTGTGGTTCCACTGCCTGCCTCCCGAGCGCAAAGTCCCAAGTTCAATACCCGTACCAAAAACAAACAACAACAAAAAAATGTTATTTATTTCTATGTCATCAGTTGTGTCTACTTTTGAAGTACGTAAGAAAGACTATATCCCTCACCTTTTTTGCCTTGTGAAATTGGCCAAAATGTAAAGTTCTATGTCCATTATTAGTGTTATTTCAAATTCAGCACTATTCTCTTCTTCCTTCAGTGTGCCCTCTGCCTCTCTGAATTTTTATTGTGCGCAGAGATCCCTGGAGAGCCGGGGCATACCTTTTTAAATAGAATTTTTCATGTCCTGAGAATAACCATGTAATCACAGAATAATTTCAAGAAACCCTAGAAAACAGTGTGACGCTGTTCTGCAATGCCCTAAATCAATGAGATGCTCCATTTTGTCTCAGTAACGTCCTATCCAGGACAGAGGACAAATTTAAAAAGCTCCTCTTTTTTTGCCCACCCAGAATAGGCTTCTCTCAAGCATTTTGCCTTGTCTTTAATGAGAGTGAATCCAAAATTTAAAATAAAGTCACTTCTTCCTCTTCCTTTTAGGTCTTCCTTGCAGAGTTCAAGAAAACCAATCAGTTTTTTGCAATAAAAGCTTTGAAAAAAGATGTAGTTTTGATGGACGATGATGTGGAGTGCACCATGGTGGAGAAGAGAGTCCTGTCCTTGGCCTGGGAACATCCATTTCTAACCCACATGTTCTGCACGTTCCAGACCAAGGTATGGCTCTGCTCACACAGCCTCCCTCCCCTCCAACCTGCCCCGAGCCTCTGGCGGTGGCCTTCTGTGTCGATGTAAGCTGCTGTCTCCATTTTTATCTTCTCATTACTTTTCCGTCCAGTTTTCCTCCCTCTGTCCATCCACCCCTCCCTCCAAAAGCGTTTCGTCTCCTTTAAACACCACGCAAACGTTACTTCGAGTTTCTTAATGTGGTCTGTTGAGACAGACTTTTACTTCTAGGTTTATTCATTGGTTTACTTGGATTTCTAGAATTTGGCTTAACACAGCAAAACCACCAGGCGTCTAAGCAGTTGGTGACTTGGAGGGGAAAATACAAACTTGTCTTCATCTACCATATGCATATGTAAAAAGACCAATGTGGGAAACCCATTAAAATGTGTATGCTCTGTTACTTTCCTTTGAAATCCTGGCAGAAAAAGGGGCCCATGTGTGGACTGGGTCAGCCGAGCCACTGGGCCAGGGGCCCCTTCCCTTATGCTAATCTTGTCAGAAGGTGGTACAGTTCTAGGAGCACTCTCTTTTACTTAAAAAAAAATTGTAAATAACTTTTTCTGACTCATGTTATTCAGAACCACTTCAGAGAATTTGGAAAATACTTGTAAGCATTTATAAGAAAAAATCATTTATAATCCACCACTCGGATACACTCTAATACTACAAAATTTATCTCTCTAGATTTTTCACTTGTATGGATTTAAAAACATCAACCCACTGTAAAATACCTGCCATTCTGCACCTTGCTTCTTAAACCTTCTATTATATTTATTTTCTCACCTCTGTGGATGTTCTTCTACACTGTAGTGTATTAATTTGAATTTGCTTTTTATTCTGACTTAAATAGCATTGAAGTGGTCCTGGATCACTTTTCATAGGGCAGCATTATGATTTTTCTTTCCTCATTTTTCTTGCCTTCACCCTATTCCCATTATACAAAGCCTGGAGTAATAAGCAGACCCATGTGGGACCCTGGGATTAAGGTCCAAAAGGTGGGTTTTTCCCCCTTTTTTCTGTGTCAAGTCAAATCATCATACGAGCCATAGAGGGCCTCTGCAGTGCCTTTGGCCAAGGAGAGGACTAATGGGGAGTCAGGCAGGAGAAGCAGATGGTGCCCTGAATTTCTCCCCCACTTCTGCAGCTCCCAGCAGATTCTCAACAAATATTTTACTGAGCAAATAAGCGATTAATGCACTTACTTAAAATAAAGAGAGAGCAGCCCATGACAAAGTACCGCGCATATACTATCTTCAAAGCACTGTGGGAGATGCAGAAATAGATAAAACAACTCCTGACCAGAGAATTGAAAGCTCTAATAAAAGAGCATGCAAATTGATACACTTAGAAATTAGAGTCTGCATAGGCAGAAAGGACATTGGGCATTTTAGCTTAAGGCTTTAGGAGATACACATGAAAGAATAAAGGGAGAGAACAAAATGACAATAGAACAGTGAAAAGAGGCTCATTTCCTAAAACAGGAACACGGTTGGAGTTTCTGGTTATGAGAGTTAGAGGGGTCTGCTAGCAGCTTCCTCCTGGTAATGATGAGTCCTGGCGGTCTAGATGTTATAGATAGGTTACATGAAGTCACAGAGGCAAATTCTGTCCCCTCTCCTAGGCCAAAGTGTTTTGCAAATTCTCCCGGGCCATATGCTAAATTTACTAGGTTTAGAATATTGTGAAGCTTATAGAAAACTGAAGTTACATTGCAGACTGGACTTCTAGTAACAATCAAGCACTCAAGCTTAACATAACGTCTTTTCCCACTGCTGTGTGTGTGTGTGCGTATACTGTAGGTGTGACTTTTCCTGTCTTATGGAGAAGGCTATGAGGAATCCCATCTTACAGATAGTGGGGTATTCCCTTCCCTTGGATGTCTAACGCAGCCTTCACTTTATCTGCTTCTTTCCCTTCCTGGGTCATACTCTTAATGTTACATGCAATTACGATGCTTTAACAAGACCATTCATAATACTCACTGCAGGAAAGGGGGAAAGCGTGGAGAAGGTGCGTATCAAATGTAAATGACTGGTTCAGCATTTAGCAGTAAGAAAAGAAGAGAAAGTAAAAGGGAGAAGAAGCGAGGGGAAAGGAAAGAAAGGAGGAGGGGAGGAAGGGAAGGGAGCTGGGTTACATGTTGCTGAGACCCAGCACTGTTGCTTTTGAGTTGTTCTGATTTATTATTCAGACAGTCAGAGAAACAATTAACTACCCCAAATGAATGTAAAAAGCAACAATATCTAAGAGCTGATCCACTTCGGGAACATTTAAGGACAGGGTTTTTTGTTTTGGGGGTTTTTCTTTGAGGGGACAGTTATCTCTGTGCACTAGCAAAGGCAGTAGGCAAGATACATTAGCCATTTACATCTCTAGGGGATTGTTATTTTTCTGAGAAAGTTATTCATTGGCTCTATGCCTCCAAGGAGAGCACCTGCTGAATATCAGAGTATTCAGGGTGTGTGTGGGGAGCTTACTCCTTGTTTATCAGAAGCATGTGCACTAAGTCACTGGAGACTTTTGAAGGTCATAAACAGGGATGTATGACCTGTTGCAGGGGGGGAAATACTTGCTGTGATAAAAAAAATGGTGAATATTTTTTAAAACTTTAATGTATTGTTGTAAAAGACATAGTATCATGAATCTCCCTCACTTTGAATGCATTTACCCATCTTGCCACCCTCTGAAGTAGCTGTGGAAATCCTCTTGCAAGTCTTTAGTTGGACAGCAACGGCTGCCTTGATGCCCTAAACTGATTTGACACCTGCATCTCTTGCGATCATTTTGACTTTGGTGACAGCCAGAAGTTGAATAGCATCAGATCAGAGAATGAGGTGGATGAGAACACTCTCTCCTGTTTGCATTTGACAGAAAATGCTGTACACAGTTGATCAATGAGGGATGATCAAAAATTGGTAAATATTTACATTTTAAAATTATTACAGTAAAAGGCACATTGCCATTGACGCCTTCCCCTTCGAATACACTTATCCCGTTATTCTTCTCAACATCTCATTTACTGTAATAACATTTGTTAGTATAAACATTCATCATATTTTTCAATAGTACCTTGTATGGTAAAGAAATTGAAGAAGCCCCAAGGAGTAAGGGAGCTGTCGGCTTGGGCGCTGATGATTGGCCTCAGCTCTGCTGTTGGCTAGAGGGGGCTCTGTGGCTACCCTGCCTCTCCCGCCCAGGACAGAGAGGGAGAATTACGATTCCCCACGGAGAAGCACAGCCCAGCCCGGCCCCGACATACAAACATCCCATTGTACCTGAATCTGAACCTAAGTGAGGCTCAAAAGCATCTTCCACCTTGACTTTCTCAGAGCTACATCGAGACGACCTCGTGTACCACTCAAGCTCTGTCGTAAGCCACTGGCATTGGAGCAGGTCAGCATTCGAGGGGCTGTTGCTGTCTTTCACTAACATTTCTTTGTCCTCCCTTAACAAGTCCAGTTTCCACTCTTCACACGAGTATTCACAAGGCTTGCGATTGGCTGATTTTCGTCCCGGTGACCGTGTCAGTGTGAACAGAACTGACTGAGTGCTACTGGGCTTTACACCTAAATGTGCAACACTTGTGTTTCATAATTCATATTTTATAAAGTAAAACATGGGGGGAAATTCACCTCAAAACTTCTCCACAGGAATAATAAATCTTTTATTATCATAAATCGTTCTAACTGAATTCACTAATGTGAGAATTTAAAAACTGGAAAAAAAACATAAAACTTTGAAACCCCATTTCACAAATTTATTTCAAAAGTCACTTTTAAAATAATTCATCAAATTCTTCTTGGGGACCTGTTCTTCATATGTTCTATATTTTCCCCAAAGATGCTGGACTTAAAAATTATATGTGTATAAATTACCATGTTATTTATTTTTATATGTAATTCTGGTTCAAATGTATAAGAGTAAGACCCACCTAACATGGAAAAAATATGTTCTATTTTCTTGATTTTAAGGAATCATTAATAATTAGATGCATTATTAATTCTCTTAGCAAAAAAGCAGAATTATTTTCAATGCTGCACATATTAGAAGCCATCTTCCAATTTCAGAATCACCTGAATATGAAACATTTGTGCATATTAGAAATGCATTTGGCTTCCAATAAGGAACAGTAGCTTAAATTAGATGGAAACTTCCTTCTGCAGGTGCGCTCTCTCTCTCTCTCTCTCTCTCTCTCTCTCTCTCTCTCTCTCTCACACACACACACACACACACACGCACACACACAGAGGGAATGAGATATGTATGTTCAGAGCAGCTGTAAAAGCTCCAGAGTCATCTAAGATCCATCTGTTTCTTTGTTCCATCATCCACAGCACTGGGCTTCCATCCTCAAAGTTTCTTCTTGTTCCAGTGTGGCTATTGGAGCCCAGCCCTCACAGCTACATTCCAGTCGGTAAGCAGGAGAAATAGAGAAAGGATATGACAAGTTCATGCCAGCTGCCATGTAACAAGTATATCCCTTCCTTATTAAAGTAGTCTTACATTCTTAAAAATAGTAACAACGAACTTTTGCATCATCTCTTTGACCTCTCTGTAGCTACAAGGAAATCTGGGAAATAGAATCTTTCAGCTGGGCACAGACTAGATTAGTTTTTGGCTTTGTTTAGTTTTGATTTTACTACAGAAGATAGACAAGATATATTTTAAAATAAAGGAAATACAATGAGAACAACTTTTGTCAAGGGCTCATTCATTACGTGCCAACATAGGTTCTCCATTTAATTTGATAACCTTGACAAAGTGCACATTTTTACAAGAAAAAGCTGAGGCTCTTTAGAAACATGAACTTGCCTACAAGCTGGTCTCTGGGCACAGTGTTGAACCTTACCATTTGTCTGTGTCCAAATATTGACTCCCTCTGTACTCACACGATGTCAGTATTCTAGTGACACGCACCTCTGTAGTAACTAAATGTTCACCTACAAGAAAGAAAAGCCACTTTGAAAAGTAATGTCCCTCCCTTCACC